GCCTCCCAAAATGCTGGGATTACAGGCGTGAGCCATCGCACCCAGCTGAACACTTTCTTTCTCAGAGAAACAGGTGATTGTGAAACACTATTATGATGTTGCTCCACATCATGCAAAGATTTCACATACATATCCACTGCTAAGATGTTTTATCTTAATGTTAACATAAGCCCAAAAGGTTAACATATGTCTTTCCTACTAAGTTGTTTAAATGTTTCTGAATAAACAAAGAACATGGAGTAACATTATTAGTGTATCTTACCTGAGCCCAGTCTGCAGGCAATGCCTAACTGCCCCAAAATTCAATAAAATGCTTAGGAAGTGCACATTCGCTCATAAAACATCAAAATAAATAATCATCTCAGGGAACGTCCACAAGCATATCATAAGTAATCACTTGGTTTAAAGGGAAAAAAGTCCAAAAGAGATGAAAATAAAGCAAAGAAGGAAACAAAATAGGATGAAAAAGAAAAAAGGGGGGGGGAACAAAACTTCCTTGCAGATAATTTTCCCTATTTCCTTAGTCTGACCTTCCTCATCCATTTTAAAAATCCTCCGACTACAAGTTCCAAGTGTTTAGTTCACTCTTTATGGGTATACTCTTTCCCACAAACGTCCTTGTGCAAAAAAAACAAACAAAAAAAATCTGATTTTAACATGATGAGTTATCATTTTACAGAAGCAATAGTTCTTGCTACTCGTTAGGACTCCAGAACAGTTTAGCGAGAATTCCTTTTAATTTGGGGCTTTGTAAATTGCATGAAATCAGGCTGAATCCTGATACGATTACTATCTTAATCGTAACTGGGGAGGTACGATTCCGCCTTGCAAAAAGCCTTCTGAAATTCTGTGTCCCTACACCCCGTCTTCCGTCCTCAGCCCAAACATGTTAACAGAATGCTCTGCATCCTTAGCACAGGGTCAATATTCAAACCAAGCGAAAAACTTTATTTTTAAAACACTTACAAGGGGCGAACCAAGGAGGACAGCGTGTAACTGAGGAGGCAGCAGGGCGACTGACTGGCTCCATGAACCCGGAATGGCTTAAAGGACACAAGCCCCAGGGACTTGAGGCAGTTTTCTCCTACACCCCCAAGTTGCGCTTTAGATTCCCAGGATTGAGCGAGCAGTGTTATTTCGTACTTTAAAACTCTGCAAGTAATCTAAGCAAGCAGAAGATAGCCAAGGGAGCCAGGAGGGGCCCGAGGGACGCAGGAGCCTGAGAAAGAAGAGAGCTGGGGAGGGGAAGGCCAGGAGCAGAGCCCGGAACTGGTCATCACGGGCCAGGCCTGGTCCCGGCCGCGGCGGGAGCGAGGACGCGGCGCTGCATCCGACTCACCTGCCCATTCTCCGAGCCCCGGGCCGACCCCCGCCTCATTCCCCACTCCCCAGACCCGGAGGGCCGTGAAGAGCGAGTACGAAATGCGCAGGGCTAAGTAGGCCACGGTGCCCGCGCCCACCCAGTACAGGAAACCGGCGGCGGGGAGAGCGCTCTCCATGGCTTTCTACTAGGCCTCACTACCTTCGTGAATGAAAAAAGCGAATGAATGAATCCAGGAGGGGGCGCCGGCCGTGACGGTGAGGATGACACTAATAGGCGCTGCTCCGACACCACTTTGGGCCTAAACCCCGCCCGCGGGACCATTTCCGTGTCTCTATTGGTGCTCTGTCTTTCCCTCTGCGCGTAGGGCGTCAGCAATTGGCTGACTCTAGTTCCACTGCCCCGCCCACACTCCCCCGTCACCACGCCCCCCAGGGTTACGCCTGCTTGCGCCCTGTCTCACCCCACCGAGGCGCCCCGGTCTCTCATTGGCTGCAGCCGTACTCGCGACTGGTGAAGAATGTGCTCGGATTGGCCAGTCAGATCAAGGCTGGTTTGAGCTCAGGTTCGAAGAGGAAATGGGATCAGAGAACCCGCTAGTGAATGGAAAGATTGTAGTAAGAGGTGGGTTTGTGGGCAGGGCGCGGTGGCTAACACCTGTAATCTCAGCACTCTGGGAGGCCGAAGCGGGCGAATCCCTTGAGCTTAGGAGTTCGAGACCAGCCTGGCCAACATCCGAACCCCGTCTCTACTAAAAATACAAAAATTAGCCGGGTGTAGTGGCGCGCGCCTGTAATCCCAGCTACTCGGGAGGCTGAGGCAGGAGAATCACTTGAACCCGGGAGGCGGAGGTTGCAGTGAGCTGAGATCGCACCACTGCACTCCAGCCTGAGAGAAAGGGTGAGATTCCATCTCAAAACAAAACAAAAAAAGAAAAGAAATGGGTGTGGAGCCATGGTTTTATTTTCAACTCTTTATTAAATAAATATATATTTCACATATATGATATAGTTATATAATAAATATATCATTGTTAAGCGTGCTGTCATTGTTTCCATAAACTTTTCCAGATAAAGGCTTGCAGTCTTCTGTGACTGTGCCTTCCTCACTGCAGGCATTAGCTCGGGTTACACTCACTCACAGAGGGCCCTCTAAATGCCAGACCTCCCTCCCAGCCGAGCAGTAAACATCACTTAGTTCCCAACAATTTGGAGTTCACGGCAAATAACCTGATGGAGTCTAATAACTCTAATAACTGTTATATGATGGCATCAGAGCTGTACAATGAATGAAAAATATAGGAACACAGCTTGCTGAACAATTAGTTTTGGAAGGAGATTATATCTTTTAATTTGTCTTCAAAGGAGGATATAAAATTTTATTTTCTTTTTAAAATTTCCCTTTTTTGGTTGGGGGGCAGGGGAGTGGTATTTCCAAGGGGCACAGAAGTGTGAAGTCCAGATAGAGGCATGGGAACTACGTTAGCAAACTTCCAGAGGAGAAAGACCACAAGGTAGGTTTAAAAAATTGTGTAAAACAATAAAGTGCTTCACACTTACTCTCTACCTTTCTTCAAGAGTTTTTATTCCCTTCTCTGGCATGGATTTAGGCTCACAAAAGTACCTAAAATTTGTTCTTAGCCAATGGGGGCTGCTGATTCAAGACTTAAGAGTGTTTTTTGTAAAGCAGGAACTTAAGGATAATAATTCTAAGGGTAACAGTTCAACATATCTTGCAGCTAACTTTATAGTTTAATAAGATTCAATTTGAGCCTTATTTCTTGCTGCCCAACCCCCCCTTCTCCATTCTCTTATCAGATTAATTAAGTCTAACCCTAAGGCTGTAAATGTAAACCATCAATTACCCTCCAGAATCCAGCCATGTGAGTTGAGCTGACATCATATTTTATTTTAATTGAATTTGGTACCTTTGGCTGGGGCCACCTCTTCAGTTCAGCTAAAAGCCCACCACTCTTCTCCCTCAACTTCTCCCTCTTCCCCAAATCTTTGCCTACAGTGTAGCTATATCCCCAAATTTATATATCCCAGCTCATCATTTCTCACCAACAAAGCGCCCTCTAGATATTCAGTCCCATTCTCCTTAGAATAGGCTGGAAGAGGGAGAAGACAGTTATTATAAACTAACAATACATAATCTTTTGTTCCATATGTCTGTCTGTCTGTGGCCCCCACTAGAATCTGTGATTACAGGGGACACTATGCTGTGAATCCACAGGACCTAAAACAGTACCTGGTACCTAGGGGACCCCAACAAATATCTAAGAAATAAACAGAAGTGAAGATTCATTCATTCAACAAATATTATTGTGCCCTAATTACATGCCAGTCCACTGAGCTAGGTACTAGGTATAAAATAGAGAGCAAATGGGCAATTCTCAGTCCTAACCCTACTCTACCATTCAACAGGGAGTGACCAGTTTTCCTCTCAGGGTCCTTTGCTGGCCCCTTCTCTTACTGGCCTCTAAATTACACAATGCCCTCAGGCTCAGACCCCAGCTCTCTTCTCTAATATATGATTTTATCCAGTCCCTTGGTTTTAAATATCAACTGTAAGCTGATTACTTCTAAATGTCTCTGTCCAGGCTCAACTTCTGCTTAGAGGTCCAGACTTCTATACGGTATATATATATATCCACCCGCCTATTCGCATCTCTACTCGGATATAAAATAGACATTTCAAACTTAACATGTTTAGAACTCTACGCTCAACACATGCACACACACACACACACACACACACACACACCCTCTTCCTCTTTTCGTTCCTATTTCTGTTAATGATACCATCATTTACTCCCTTTCTAAGGCCCAAGACTTACGAATGAACATTGATTCTTTTCTTTTTTTTTTTTTTCACTCTTTCCACCCAGGCTGGAGTGCAATGGTACAATCTCAGCTGACTGCAACCTCCACCTCCCAGGTTCAAGTGATTCTCCTTCCTCAGCCTCCCAATTAGCTGGGGTTACAAGTGCCCGCCATTACACCCAACTAATATTTGTATTTTTACAAAATTTTTGTATTTTTACAAATTCTACATCTGTAAAATGAGAACAATACTACTTAAGCATTTAGCAGTGATTGGCAGATAGACATTAAGTGTTCAGTGAGGTAGGTACTACTCTTATTCCCATTTTACAAATGAGGAAACAGAGTCTTGAAGCAAGTAAGTGGAAGAATTGGAATTTGAACCAAAAAGGCATGACTATGAAATCATATCTCCAGAACTAGCTCAGAGAAAGCAACATCTAAAAAATGGCTAAGGACTGGGCACCGTGGCTCATGCCTATAATCCCAGCACTTTGGGTGGATCCCTTGAGCTCAGGAGTTCGAAACCAGCCTGGGCAATATAGCGAAACTATAATATGGCAATCTAGCGAAACTTTTCTACAAAAAATACAAACAAACAAAACTAGCTGGGCTTGGTGGTGCACCCCTGTAGTCCTGGCTACTTGGGAGGCTAGGCAGGATAATTGCTTGAGCCTGGGAGGCAGAGGATGTAGTGAGCTGAGATTACGCCATTGCACTCCAGCCTGGGTAACAAAGTGAGACCCTGTCTCAAAAAAAAAAAAAAAAAAAAAAAAGAAAAGAGAAAGACTAAAGGAGATAGAAGAGTCTCTAGAAATATTTTGCTGTTGTACAAATAAAATACTCAGACACAATCACATTAGATTTCAGCTTCATTTATTAACAAATTTAGAGTTTAGAATGGTATTTAATATAAAAAAGCAACAACATTGTACCATATTAGTATACAAATATTCCCATTTAGTTGAAATTTTATTTTTAATATTTCTGTAAATTGAGTTTCAGATCAGAGTTTCCTGATGAAATCAGGAGTAGTTCTACAGAATGAAAGAACACTTTATAATCAGGGAATTTCATAGAAGTGAGGAATTATTAAGCATACCATCTTGTTTAATCCTTTGGGACACAGCTGAATCCTTCACTTGGCTGTATAATAAAACCTTTTAACAGTTCTGTCTTCCCACTCATCTTCATTTAAACATTGTTCAAAATATTGAATTTTAACTTGCTTTTAAATTCAGTTGTCCAACCCTGGGTTAAAAAGAAAAAGTGGTGTGATGAATAAACCAATTTAAAAGAAACTGAGTCTTCAGCATTAGAAATTGGGAGGTTTCCCAAAAGTTAATATGTAATTTATTTAACAAGCAATATTACCATAAGAAAGGAAGATTAACATTTATTGGCCAGGGTGCAGTGACTCACACCTGTAATCCCAACACTTTGGGAGGCCGAGGCACGCGGATCACCTAAGGTCAGGAATTCATGACTAGCCTGGCCAACATGGTGAAACCCCATCTCTACTAAAAACACAAAAATGAGCCGGGTGTGGTGGCGGGTGCCTGTAATCCCAGCTAATCAGGAGACTGAGGCTCGCTTGCACCCAGGAGGTGGAGGTTGCAGTGAGCCGAGATCGCACCACTGCACTCCAGCCTGGGCAACAGAGTGAGACTCTGTCTTAAAAAAACAAACAAACAAAAAACAAACAAAAACACTTATTACGCTTTAATATTGCAATATCAACTTCAAAGTCACTTCACATACATTATCCCATTCAAACATCACAATAACACCCCCGTTTTTCCAACAGGGAAATTAACTCTTTAAGTTAACTTTCTTGCATAAGGACTACTTTAGTGCAGCAGGCCTGTTTCTAGAACCAAGATGTCTGCACTAAAAATGAAGAGCTCGGCCAGGCGCGGTGGCTCACGCCTGTAATCCCAGCACTTTGGGAGGCCGAGGCAGGCACATCACAAGGTCAGGAGATAGAGACCATCCTGGCTAACACGGTGAAACCCCGTCTCTACTAAAAAAACAAAAAATTAGCCAGGCCTGAAGGCGGGGGCCTCTAGTCCCAGCTACTGGGGAGGCTGAGGCAGGAGAATGTCGTGAATCCGGGAGGCGGAGCTTGCAGTGAGCCAAGATTGCGCCACTGCACTCCAGCCTGGGCGACAGAGTGAGACTCCGTCTAAAAAAAAAAGAAAAGAAAAGAAAAAGAAAAAAGAAGGGCTCTTTCTATTCTGCCACCTATTTAGACTCGCATTCATAGTCCTCTGTAAACGTATTTCCCAAATAAAACTGAAATCAGTCATTTTGAAACAAGTGATTACATAATATAGTTTTAACATTTTACCTCTTTTTTAGTTTCAAAAGCACACAGATTTATATGAAATGAAAAAGCATCCCACCTCATTTTCTATTCCCACTAACAGTTGGAAATTTGTACTGTATTCTTCCATTTCTTTTTCTTTTCATTTCCATTTCTAAGTATGAAGCTGTATAATATACACAACATATACATATATACTTTTCAGAAGTAATAGCTGTGATTGCGCAAAAATAATTCAACAACTTTCTTTCTCCACTCAATAATATATGATTAAAAATATCAAAGTGAAATCTTGACATATCAATATTGCACATTAACTAGTTTTCTTTATTGCATCAGCAGATCTAACAATTTGTTCCATCAATCTTACTCAGAATACTTTTACTTAAAGAAAGGAATTAGTGCCATGGTAAACAAACCAGTTTAAAACCATGTGAAAGGGGCCGAGCGTGGTGGCTCATGCCTGTAATCCCAGCACTCCGGGAGCCCAAAGTTGGTGGATTACCTGAGGTCGGGAATTCGAGACCAGCCTGGCCAACATGGCGAAACCCTGTCTCTACTAAAAATACAAAAATTAGCTGGGCGTGGTGGCCTGTAATCCCAGCCTGTATTACATACCTGTAATCCTAGCTACTCAGGAGACAGAGGCTGGAGAATCTCTTGAACCCGGGGGCCAAGATGGTGCCACTGCACTCCAGCCTGGCAACAGAGAGAGACTCCATCTCAAAAAAATAAAATAAAACCATGTGAAAGGGAAGTAAACCATAATATCTTACCCACATCATATTTCCAGCATAACTGTAGGACAGTTACGCAAGCAAACTTACGGCAAACAATATAGTGGAATTTCAGGACGTTTTCTTTACCTGAATCCTTACTTTAGCCATAGGTTCAAGGATTTGTTATCTTTACCCACACTTTTTTTCTAAAAATTCTAGCTACTTTAGTTTCTATTACTTTTGCCTAGTTCTTTCCTTTATTCCCCTTATTACCTTTTTAAAAAATTTGTATAGAGAGAGAGACTTGCTCTGTCTGTCACCCAGGCTGGAGTGCAGTGGTATGATCATAGCTCACTACAGCCTTGAACTTCTGGACTCAAACAATCATCCTGCCTCAGCTTCCCAAGTAGCTAGGACTACAGGCACACAGCACCCCACACCCAGCTTTTTTTTTTTTTTTTTTAGACGGAGTCTCGCTCTGTCGCCCAGGCTGGAGTGCAGTGGCACAATCTCAGCTCACTGCAAGCTCCGCCTCCCGGGTTCACACCCTTCTCCTGCCTCAGCCTCCCGAGTAGCTGGGACTACAGGCACCGCCACCATGCCTGGCTAAGTTTTTGGTTTTTTTGTGGGGTTTTTTGTATTTTTAGTAGAGACGGGGTTTCACCGTGTTAGACAGGATGGTCTCGATCTTCTGACCTTGTGATCTGCCCGCCTCGGCCTCCCAAAGTGCTGGGATTACAGGCGTGAGCCACTGTGCCCAGCCAGCTAATATTTTTTGTAGAGACAAGGCCTTGTTTTGTTGCCCAGGCTGGTTTCCAACTCCTGGGCTCAAGCAATCCTCCTGTCTTGGCCTCCCAAAGTGCTGGGGTTACAGGCATGAGCTACTGTGCCAGGCTCGTTTGCTATCTTTTAAAATATATTTGATGCATACGAAAGATTAGATGAAATATATAAGTGTTCATATAAAGCACAATATAATGAAAAACTGTAAACTCACCACCTAACTCAAGAACCAAAAAACCAAAAACCTACCCTAGCCCATTCTCCAAAGGTAAGCACAGCCCTAAATGTTGTATATCATTCTACTGCTTTTAAATATATGCTTTATATCACAAATATATATGAAATAATAACATGTTGTTTCATTTTGCTTATTTTTGAGCTCTATTTAAAAAGCATGATACGGTGGGTGCTGGGGAAGGCATCCCAGATCTTCCCTCCAAGACCAAGACCTTCATTTCCACATTTGCTGACAATCCTGGTCTATGTCCCTCTATGGGACTTGTCCTTGGGCAAAGGGAGCTGCTTTGCCCCTCCCCAATGGCAGCCTACATCCAGTGACCGGATGATGCAGGAGTACAAAAGCCTGGACCACCTACCTCAATTATGAACATCTCTGAAAACCCTTCCCAGCTTCAGAGCTCCCAGTGGAATTTCCTGAAGCTTCCATTATACTGCAGTGCAGTTTAACTTCTCTTTCAGCTTAATCCAGCTTCCCTTCCTCCCTCAAGGATGTTGTTCCCCAGTGTATTCCATTACAAATCCCCTGCAAGCAAATCCCAATATCCAAGTCTGTTTCCTGCGAAACATGACTGTTGTGGGCTGCAATGTATCTCCCTAAAAGATATGTTAAAGTCCTAACCCCACAACCTGTGGCCTTGGCCTTATTTGGAAATAAAGTCTTTGCAGATGTAATCAGGTTATGATGAGGTCATACTGGATTAAGGTGGGCCTTAAACCCAATGTCTGTTTCCTTATAAAAAGAGAGAGATTTAGAGAAACACAAAGAGACAGAGGGAGAGACAATGGAAGCAGAGATTTTACTAATACAGTTTCCAGCCAAGGAACGTTCAAAATGGCCGACAACCACCAGAAGTTAGGAAGAGGCAAGGAAGGATGCTTCCAGAGAGCCTGCAGAGAGGGCACAGCCCTTCCCAACACCCTGATTTTGGACTTCCAGCCTCCAGAACTGTGAGAGAATAAATTACTATTCTTTTTTTTTCTTTTTTCTTTTTTTTGTTTTTGAGACAGAGTCTAACTTTGTTGCCCAGGCTGGAGTGCAGTGGCACCATCTTGGCTCACTGCAACCTCTGCCTCCCAGGTTCAAGTGATTCTCCTGCCTCAGCCTCCCAAGTAGCTGGGGTCACAGGCGCCTGCCATCACACCCAGCTAATTTTTGTATTTTTAGTAGAGACGGGGTTTCAGCATGTTGGTCAGGCTGTTCTCGAAATCCTGACCTCAAGTGATTCACCCACTTCAGCCTCCCAAAGTGCTGGGATTACAGACGTGAGCCACCGTGCCTGGCCAATAAATTGCTATTCTTTAAAGCCACCTAGTTTGCAGTGATTTGTTGCAGCAGCCCCAAGGAAAGTCACAGGTAGACTGACACACACTTGGGTAGTCTTCAGGAACTTGCTTTTTTTTTTTTTTTTGACTCAGCATCATGTTTCTGAGAATTATTCCTGTCATTGACTCTAGTTGTGGTTCTCTATTTATTTTCTTGAATATCAGTGGCAATATCTCATCAGAGATATATTAACGATATACACAGCCAGGTGTAGTGGCTCATGTCTATAATTCTAACACTTTGGGAGGCCAAGGCATGGAGGATTGCTTGAGCCCAGGAGTTTGAGATCAGCCTGGGCAACATAGCTAGACCCCACCTCTAAAAAAATTTTTTTTTTTAAATTAGCTGGACATGGTGTCATACACTGGTCGCCCCAGTGTGGGAGGATCATCTGAGCCAGGAGTTTGACACCGCATTGAGCTATAATCATGTCACTGCATTCCAAGCTGGGTGACAAAGCAAGACTCCGTCTCAAAAACATACATAATAATAATATATTATTGAAAAATTTTTAATTATATTCTTTCTAAAATGATTATGCCTCTGTTTTGGGATAAACTCTCTCATAGTATTTGTGTTTATTTTATTTCAAATGTTTGAGAAAAGTTTCTATATAAATTTTAAAATTAATTACATATTTGTCTTTATACATATGTGTTTGACAAAATAATGACCTCCTAAAGATATCCATGTCGGCCGGGCGCGGTGGCTCAAGCCTGTAATCCCAGCACTTTGGGAGGCCGAGACGGGCGGATCACGAGGTCAGGAGATCGAGACCATCCTGGCGAACACGGTGAAACCCCGTCTCTACTAAAAATACAAAAAAAAACTAGCCGGGCGAGGTGGCGGGCGCCTGTAG